CATTTCGGGGTGCGGCCCAGTCGCGGGGTCAGTTGTAACAATCCCCAAGTCCAAGTCCTGCAACAAACGATTGCACTGACGAAGTGAATGGTGATGCTTACACGGCATCAGTGATGCATATTGCCTCTATCACAGGAAGCAGCTTCACCTCCGTAGGGGTGCACTCAAAGTTCCAGCCAAAGTATGATAGTAGACAATGCCATAGCAGTGCAACACGACAGTACGAACCTATGTTGATGGCGACTGCCTCACGTAATGTAGGCACATTCTGATCATGGTGGACCAGTGTTGTCTTGCCCCTCCAATACACAAGCCAGCACTGTATTTACCAGATCAACAAGACTTGCTTCGCGCTTTTCCTGGGGCTGGGCAGGATGTTGAAAGTATAAGAAATGCTTCCAGCCAGTGCAAGGCAAAGAAAAAGTAGATAGGGTTCAATCAGGGCGATGATGGCTTCTGGCCGAGTTCTAATGGGCCTGTTAACATCAAAGCGTCCAAAGCACCTTATATGCTCTCAGGCTTATTTGCCATGAAATGACTTTCTTCCAAACAATCAGACCTTGGCAAAAAAAAGTCCTGGCTACGTGCCTGGCTGCGTGGTAGAACGCCTGCCACGCAAACGACCCAGGTTCGATCGCACTCAGACTCACAATTTTTTATTATTTATTTTATTTGCATGTTTATCGATTTTAAGGTCACGCAAGAATTGCCGATTTTTCACGTCACGCAAAGATGATGATTTTTCACTCCGACACCGCTGACACCGACGCTGAAATTTCTGCGTAATGAGCTTCTTAACGCCATGCCCTTGAAACGACAATGGAGTGCGTCTGAATAGTCTAACAAAAACAGGTGTAAAATAACAATAACAAATAGCAAAACAGCAACAGCAGTGAAAATGAACTGTGAACATGTATAACAAATTAAATGTGCTGACGGTAACAAGGGTAAACGACCAAGAAAATAAAATGTTAAATATGTCAAAGTAACTTGGTCCCAATTGAGTGCCCATCGAGGTACCACTTGTCTGAACTTAGTGAAAGCCATTAAATTCGAAGTTGTTCAGTTGCAGGATTAGGGCTAATTCGTGATAAGCATTTATTCTGACCGAATGTTGTTGTTGTGAGGAATGTTTGTGCAGAGCGAAGCCATGTCTATTGCGAAGTGTAATTCTCAGGCACGTCGAGTTCTACAATGTCGCTTAAGCACTTTAATCATTCTACTACAAGAGCTTCATAGATGATATGTTCCTCATATGGCATCATGGAGGAGCTGAAGTGCTGTCTTTCACTTCAAACTTTAATGTCGTTAATTCATCAATATCTTTCTCGCCCACCTATTCACATACTATGATCAACTTTCTGGATGTCAAGGTTTGCTTGTCCACTAACGAGTTAACCACAAATCAAGGGACAAACACCGCTATCTTCACTACGAAAGTAGCTATGTCAAGCAAATAGCTATGTCAAGTATATAATCGCTACAGCGCTGTGACCTCACCCAGTGAACTGTTAAAAAAAGCTGACTTGGATACATTGCAGGCAAGACGGCAACACGATGGATTGAAGTACATGTTTTTACTTTACCACAACAAGCTACGCATAGACAAGCACGCGTACATAAAAACGGTTCACCGCCGATCAACTCATTCCGAGCATCCAAAAAACTGAATGAATATTCCTGTCAAACAAAAACCTTTAAAAACTCATTTTTTCCGCGCACTGTCACTAATTAGAATGCTCTTTCTGCCGATCTGGTGAACTGCGAAACCCTTCAGTCGTTCATGGAAAAACTTAAAACACCAGCAACCCACTTGACTTTGATCTTTCTTTGCGCTTCGCCCTCTATTTTTCCACTGCGCATCCTGAACAGGCTTCCATTTTTGTTCCACTTTTATCACTTTTTTCATATCAATGCATTGTATTTTTGAAATGTTGCCAATTTTTGAACCGTTATATGATATTTGTTTCTTAGTTCTGTATGAGCAGATGTTTGTCATCATGCTTTTTTTCGTATGTGTATGCGTAAACCACTACAATTGTGTAAGTACTGGCATTTTACTTTGGTGCACTAGTTCTTCATGGTGTAGCTCTACGTGACGTGTTTCCTTTCCTGTTGTATCTTCATATTTGTTTCCTTTTTCGTATCACCCACCCCTGCCTAAGGCCTCATGTGTGAGGCTGGCAGCACTTCTGAAATAAATAAATAAATAACAGGACCAGCATCCCATATTGAAATTGGTTAATTTTGCCATCAAAACAAAACCTGATGGCTGAACAGCCCGTGCTAAAAGCTATCACTCGACAGCTTGACAATGCCGTGGACACCTACAAACAAACACCTTTGCAGCTTCACAGCCGCACGAAAAAAGGCATAAAATTATCACTCATCACAGAAAGCAGTAATACATAGTAATACAGAGCTAAACAATACAAATGCATCAGTACGCAAAATAATGTTCCAGTGAAATTTCGTGATTGATGTCACGGATGCGAAATGAAAGACCGAAAAATAAAACATCAGATATAATATAATTAAAGTTAACGGTTTTTATATTACAAAGTACAACATAATCACAATAGGTGAATGTTTTATTAAAAAAAAGAAACTGTCAAGCTACACAGTACTTAAAAATCTTGGCAAAGAAAGTGTTCAAAAATAGCTTTTTTTGTGGTGTGTTCAAGAACAATGTTGTTTCGACGTAATTATTTAGAAGTTGTGGCAATTCATCTTCAAGTAATCGCCAACTATACTGCTTTTTATATGTTGAAACAAGCCATTATGCACTTCGCCGAGTTGTGTGAATGCGTTGGCATTTTTATAAATTAGAAACTTGTTGCTAAAAGAATGTGTTTAGGGTTATTCCATGCTTATAGGCAACAGATAAACAGTATTTGTATAATTTTTCGGCCTGAAGTATTTTATATTTGTGAAAAAGCTCCTTTGTGTGTTGTAATTAAGGGACATTAGGAACAATCCTAATCACCTTTTTTTGCAAAATATGTAATTTAAATATGGTTTTCTTTAGGTGAAATATCCCAGATAAGATGGCAGTAGTCAAGCCAAGACTGGAACAGCGAATAATAAAGCGATATTATGGTGCTTGGGGGACAAACAGACTGATAGCGGAAAAGGATACCAATTATTTGAGATAGTTTGGAGATGACGTGGCAAACCTTGTCATTGCAGGAAATTGATTCATTAAAAAATACACTCAAACTTCTAAATGTAGAAATGCACATAGAGTCAGGCCCTCAAATTTTAAAATTGGTGCTCCATGCAATCGGACTTTCGCGATAACTGTGAGAAGCTGCGTGATGAACTTACAGGTGACAAGTGCCCGCCTCCAGTAATTGACAACAGCATTAATTACGCCACAACAGCAGACAGATACGAGATTTTCACCTCGAAGAAGCGCATTTCACAGCAACCACCTACTAATTTAATCTGAATGCATTCTCCATCAATACCGAACATGAATTATATATTACGAAAACATCACAGCATCCTCATGCAGAGTATTTTTGTGAAAAGCATTTATTGTGAACTACAAGCGCATGGCATACTGTCGGTCAAGGAACCTGCACAACGAGCTGACATCATCTAGGACACCATCCCCTCATTTTCCTTCCGTTTATTCTGATTGCAGTGCTTCTCGTTAAACGAGGTGCAAGGTGAGCACTCACAGCATCAGCTGCTATCAGAATGGCATCAAATTTTACAATGAAAATTAAAGAGAGCTTTGACTGCGAGACCAATAACTGTGTCCATTTGCTGGAATCTCACCTTGGAAATTTCAATATATAGGTCAAACTTAAACACCATTAAGATTACGTTTCAATAACCACAAGGCACACATGACAATATATTCTCACTTGCCCCTTTTGAAGCACATCAGCATGCCAGGACATTCGCTTGACAAACCATTAACAGTATTGGAACCTGGTTTTTGATTCCAACAAGAGAGAAAAGTGCACAAATCCTTCTTTATCTATAAATTTAGAGACGTATCATCTCATATTAATGAAAGCGCTAGAAAGCTGACACTTATGGCCATATAATAGGTAAGCCCTTGTCATATATTTGCTAATTAACTGTATTTTTGTATTTTGTGTGCTTGTTTAAAACTGTTCATAATCACTTTTTCGGCGCATCTGGTTGTGTCCATTTCCACCTCTGGCACAGTCTTTACACTTTATACATCACTTTTTTTTTTAGTTGGTTTGCCATACTTACCGTTGGTACACTTCATTTGTTACACACATTCACTGTACATTTTCACCGCTGTTGCTGTTTTCCAATTTGTTATTGTTATTTTACACTTATTTATGTTAGACTTTTCAAATGTACTCAGTTATCACTTTTCCTGTACTTCATTTTTTTGTAAATCTTCACTGCCCATTTGCACTGCTGTTGCAACCCCCCCCCCCTTTTTTAGTTGTTGTGATCTTCTTACACCTATTCTGTTAATCTCTTTTGATGCGTCCTGACGCACCTTGCTCATTGCGCAACCTACAAGCTCCACACAGTGACCATATATTTCCAGTGCTATATTTATGGCATTCCTTCATACATGAGTTCTCACGTCCAGAAGTGCGTGCTTAGGTTACTTTGTTGAAAGCTGTGCCTTGCTCGCAGTTTTTATGCGAAATATATCGCACGAGTGCCTACATTTATTGTTGGCTACGTGATACTATACGCCACGTCTATGACGATAGTAGTGTAGCGCCCGTCGTACTGGTGTATAGAAGTGCATTTTTGCTGGAACTGTGTATTCCCAGACGAAGGCAAGGCGTTGAAAAAAATAAATATTTTCACACATTCGTCATTTATCAACCCCCCCCCCCCCCCTTCGTATATATTATTCCACCGGTGACATTGATAGGGCCGAGGCTATAAAAGTGAGTGCAAGGCGCCTCAACATTACAGCGCTTAATGTTCAAAGCTAGTTATTATTTGGCTCCAGTCGATGGAATGCCACATCGCAGCAGTGCACTCACCTTGATGCGGCATGAGGGCGTAGGTGAACTTGTGGTGACCCATATCAGCTTCAGGGTCCGGGCTCTTGGGTGCTCGAAGCAACGAGAGCCGCATGACGTTTCCGTGGACTGCATGGCCATACTTGCACGTGTTCAGCAGTGCAACGCCGTGACCATGTTCGCTGAGGTCAATCCACTTGTGGCCGTACACCTGCAAAATATTGCCACATTCGTCGTGCTTCCAATGTGTTCACCACTGCACTGTAAACAAAAATATACCCAGCTGGAAGGAGCTGGGGAATGATGCTGCCGCTCTGCTTCGGTAGCCTCACTCAAACCAAAATGTCTTCATCATCATCATCATCCTGACTACATCCACTGCAGGACAAAGGCCTCTCCCACGTTCCGGCAGTTAACCCGGTCCTGTGCATGCTGCTACCAATTTATACCCACAAACTTCTTAATCTCATCTGCCCACCTAATCTTCTGTCTCCCCCTAACCCGCTTGCCTTCTCTGGGAATCAGTTAGTTCCCCTAATGACCAGGGGTTATCTTGTTTACGCGCTACATGCCGGGCCCATGTCCATTTCCTCTTCTTGATTTCAACTATGATATCCTTAACCCCCGTTTGTTCCCTAATCCACTCTGCTCTCTTCTTGTCTCTTAAGGTTACACATACCATTTTTCTTCCCATTGCTCGCTGCATCGTCCTCAATTGAAACTGAACTCTCTTTGTAAGTCTCCAGGTTTCTGCTCTGTAGCTAAGTACCGGCAATATACAGCTGTTTTATGCCTTTCTCTCGAGGGATAGTGGCAATCAATTTATGTTTAGATGTGAACCTATTTCAAACTGTTTCTAAACATACACGCGGTACCCATGTTATAGACCTTTTTCTCACGAACGCTCCTGAAACTATAAGTAACATAGAACACCTGGGTGGTTTCAGCGATCACCATCTGCTTCAAGTGACGATAAACATAACACCACCCACGGCAGGTCCATAACAAAGCGAATTCGAGACAACAATGAAGGCAATTTTACTGCAATAAATACGAAACTAAGAGCATTTTTTCAAAGCACATTGTGGACCTCATTTTACAATAGATCTGTAAAAGAGAACTGCTTGTTGTTTAAAAATGCTTTGTGCGCCTTGGTAGACAAATATGTCCCACTCGTTTCTATAACAAACGATAGATTAAACCCCTGGTTTACAAAAAAGCTCAAGCGCATGAGGAGCAGAAAGAAACAGCTGTATAATATCGCCAAGAGCCTTCGAATCATCCTCATGGCAGAATTACAATTGCCATGAATCTTTGCCAAGATTCTGCCATGGCAAGAACCCTTTCTTTGCCATGGCAGAATTACAAATGCTATCTTAAAACATATTGCTCAGCTTTAGGCGAAGCTAAGGACAAATATTTCTCTAATGACCTTCCTGAACAACTTAAAAACAATCCAGCTAAGTTTTGGAAAATAATAAGCCCCAACCGCGAATATATTGATATCTGCCTACACAGCTGCAGCAATGTTCCTCTTCCAAATAGCGAGTGTTCATCAGCTCTTAATTCCTTCTTCAGTTCCGTATTCAGAAAAGAGGACACTTTAAGCAAACCTTACATTTCTGATTTCAGATACCAATACATGAAACCTATAGATATCACATTAAAAGGACTATCATCACTCATAAATAACCTTAAGATGTCTTCTTCTTGTGGCATAGATGGCATAAACTCAAAAATGTTACGAAATACAGTAACAGTGTCAAGCGAAATTCTTCTTCACATATTTAAGCAGTCACTCGCGACTGGCCTCCTTCCTACAGACTCGAAAATGGCAAATATCATATAGGTACTTAAAAGTGGCAATAAATCATTATGTGAAAATTACCGACTAATCTCCTTGACATGCATTTCTTGCAAGTTACTGGAACACGTTATCGCCTCGCAGATCTACAGACACCTTGAAACTCACAAGTTCTTTTTTCATAATCAGCATGGTTTTAGAAAAAGCATATCGTGTGAAACACAGTTGCTTGAATTTGTTACAGACCTACACACTAACTTGAACAACAACCAACAAACTGACTGCTTTTTTTCTGGACTTTTCGAAGGCGTTTGATGGCGTCCCACACTGTCGCCTTATTTCAAAACTTTCAGCTCTTCAATTGGACTGTTTCACTTTATCATGGTCCAGAACTTTCTTTCTGATCGTTACCAGTTTACCATTGCAAATAACTTCTCGTCCTCCTTAACTGAAGTATCTTCTGGTGTACCACAGGGAAGCGTCCTCGGTCCTTTGCTCTTTCTCATCTTTATTAACGGTCTTCCACATAACGGGTCCTCCTCTATAAGAATATTTGCTGACGACTGTATTGCCTATCGCACAATAGTTAATACAGACGACCCTCTGGTTCTTCAGCACGATCTCGAACAAGTTAGTAACTGGTGCAGTAAATGGCTAATGTCATTGAATATGTCAAAATGTAAACTAATGTTATTTACTCGGAAGCCTATAACTTCCCTACATTTATACAATATAAATAAAGACATTGTTGCAATAGCTACACAATATAAGTATCTAGGCATTATATTCACTACAAATCTTTCTTGGTCAGAATACATCACCTGTGTTTCAGCCAAAGCCTCCCAATCTTTGGGTTACTTGCGACAAAACCTAAGAAATGCTCCTTCGAATGTTCGCAAATTAGCATACCTTACCCTCGTTCGCCCTCAACTCGAGTACGCTTCCCCTATTTGGTCTCCTCACCAAAAATACCTTACTGACATGTTGGAACAAATTAAGAACAGGGCAAGCCGCTTCATTTCTAACGATTACAGCTATCAATCTAGCGTCACACAGATCAACCTAAACTTTCATTGCAATCATTGAGTACTCGACGTGACATTGCCTTGCTGACACTGTTTCACAAATTCACTCATTCATCTCGAACAACACTAGCATGCTTGAAAACACCCTACTTCATATCACACAGGCTTCATAATCACTTTAGCTATACCCGCATTTACGGATCAACACGTGAATTCAACTGCTCTGCGCTTCCACGTGCAGTCCGATGTTGGAATTCCCTGCTGGATAGCATCGCATGTCTGACAAACAATAATGCTTTTCGTAACGCACTGACCAGTTATCTGACCTACGAGGTGTAAAAATGTTTGCCATTACTGCAGTGTGCTCTTTTCGTTGTAACCTTTTTGCAGTCTCTTATTATATTGCACCGTAGTGTCGCTTATATATTTCTTTATTATCTGTTTTATCTTTGCTAGTGTTGTTGATTTCTTTTTTATTTTGTACTGCTCTTCTTATTATGTGATCTGCTACATGACCGCTGTTCATGAACTTTGTCTGTTTGTAACTACTACGGAAGTCCACTTTTTTGTACTCACCTTCTTACACAATGCCTCAACGAAGGCCTGTAAGCTATTTTTAAATAAATAAATAAATAAATCTACCTGTCATAATTTGAGAGTGCTTGCCAAATGTGCTCCACCCCATTCTTACTCTCCTAGTTACTTCAATCTCGTGGTTCGGCTCCTGCCCTAAGTAGGCATAGATTGAAGTGCACTAATACCTATCTCAAAGCGCTGCTCTTTTCAGAGGATGTTGTACATTACTTTAGCATTCTGCAGATTAATTTTAAGACCTACCTTTCTGCTCTCCTTGTCTAACTCAGTAATCATGATTTGCAATTCGTCCCCCGAGTTACTCAGCAATGCAATGTCATCGGCGAAGCGCAGGTTACTAAGGTACTCTCCATTAACTGTTCCCATTAACCGAAATGTACCGGTGGATATACATTCGTTTTCCACAGTTTTATTACAGTGGGCGACGGAAGAAGGAAACGGAGGAAAACGGGGCCAATTCTTTGTAGAAGGACTGAAAGTGGGCCCAGTTGTTGACAATACTTGAACATATTTTGACTCGACGCACGATGACGCAAACACAAAAAAAGAAGGAACAAACTGCAACATAAATTCCCTGGATTCGCTCCGGTGGTTCCTCCGCAAATGCTCCGGCGCATCGCTTATGCACCAGTGGATGCTCCAGAAATGCACCGGTACATTGCTCAGTAGCTTTCATTGCCTGTTGGAGGAGTGACGTAGGCAGCATCTTCAGATGGCCGTTCAACAAAAACCAACATGGTGCAGACCAAGACAGTGCTGTGAGAATTGTGTGAAGCCTTCGGCTATGTTTGGGAAAGAAAAATAGTTCTGTGCCTCTTTTAAATATCACAAAGGACTACAAACGGCAACGAAGTTTGCCATCGACAGAATTAAGAGAGTTCTAGGAACCTTAATCATGTGAAGGTTCCGGGTAGCGAACGATGCATTGTGAACTCACGAAAAGTGATCGATCCGGCAGTCGCTAGTGCAGCGCAAAACTGGCGAGTGATCTTTTCTCACCTCATCCATGTTATTAAATGCTAAGCATTTCTTAGCGAACTTCGGTGACTTTGAGCGTACCTATCTATCTTTCTAGCCGCTTACGTTTTGGTGCTCTCGTGGTCACCCCCAAAACTTGGTGTGAACCAAAATTAGCATGAAAGGATAAGATGGTTTGAGAAACATGGCACGCTAGTCAGGACGTGAATAATGTCACAATCTTATCGCGTACGTCGTCAAACACTTCCCGCCCGACAGTGGCACATACCAACGGGTGGGTATGTGCCGCTGGTATAGGCCACAGGTGATTGACACTTAGTATCTACCCAGGAATGACGAGAACACACATGGGCAACTTTAGCGCGCAAACAATAAGAGATACCCGTCATTGGTAGCGTCAACCCAACAAATGCAAAGAATAATTGTGAAGGTCCCAGCTGAAATCGAACCCAAGCATTCTGCGTGGCAATGAAGCATTTTACTACAAAGCTACGGCAGGTCTTGGAACTACTTTTCAAGTACATACTAATCTTCATGAAACATCAATAGTGGTTGCAGTGCTGCCTACCCAAATTTATAAACATTACATATGTACTCCTTTGATACAGCCGTCACGTCGTGTTAACGTCAATTGTGATTAGTTGCCGTGCACTGAAGTTGATTTATGTAGCAGTGTCTAGGGCTAGCATCTTCGCGAGCATCAGCGCTTCATATCAGCTTCTGGTGTTGCTACTACGCATGTTCCAGTAGGCATCATTGCGGAAGTGCAAACAACTAGTTATATAAACATCTGCAACTCTTCAACTTTTC